CGTGCTTCACTACCCATGTGCAGTGTAAGTTGATTTCTATTTACCCACAAGTGTTTACGGCTTTTCTGAGTGATTGTCTATTTGTTTGTTTGTTTGTTTGTTTGTTTGTTTGTTCATCAACTACTTATTTGTTTCTAAACAGAGACTAATATGATCCACAGCTAGAATATTGGAAGAGGCGGAAATGGTTAAGATCCATGCAAATGGACTGTGCGTCCTTAATTCGTGCGATAAACCATCGGTATGCTACTACTGCTGTTTAGTAAAGGATCAGTGCTACGGCTCAGTTGATGAGTGCAAGGCTGATTGTCCCAAGATTTCTCCCCTCGAACCGGCGCCGGCGTCCATCATCCTTGCACCATCATCGCCTCCTATCTAATCTAACCTAATTATATAGCTTTTCAAGTATATATAATGCATGCATGATGTGCCCATGAATAATTTGGAGAGGAGAGGAGAGGGAAGAATGCCAAGACGCTGGTGTCATGAACACTGTTTTAGATGTCTCCATTTTAGATGTTTTAGATGTGTCCATTTGCATGATGTGTCCATTTTTATAGTTTTTTAAATATTATAAATATAAATATCTTTAAATTACTTTACTAAGTTTTGGAAGAAAAAAAAGCTGACTGTGTAATACAAAATTTTCACATAATGAAAATAATTGTTCAATTAATTTCTAAATAAAATTAATTTTACGCAAAAAATCATTTATCATATTCTAAAAATGTACACGCGTCTCAAAAGTATGTTTGTGATTGTTTTTTAAAATGTTTATATATCATAAAAAATTGGTCACATAATTTCAAAAAAAATGTTTCACAGCAATCAAATAAAGTTTTTGACATTTCAATAATGCTCATAACACTTCAAAAACATCACACATTTTTTGAAGTATTCACAACATTTTTGAAAAATGCTCCATGCGTGTAGAAAAATTGTTCACCTTCTTCCGCCAATTATGGAAGCTTCTAAGTGACAAGTAAATAAGTTTTGTCAGAAAAATTGGGTTTGAGAGCTTCTTGTCCATGATATAACTGGAGGTAAATAAGGGTCATATGCCATGGTTGGTTCATAAAGGCTCTTGAATTTGCAGGAGGCATATCAATTCTAGTGAGGCCGCTTGTGAAGCTATTCCTTGGAAACCCTTCAGGTCCAATCCAGGTCGTGGGGTCTTGATGTAGATGATGCTCTCAATTATCCGCTCATAATAATAGGAGAGCGAAGAATGCGAAAACGTTGTCGTTTTTTACATTTTCAAGTTTTTTTAGAAATGTCATGAACATATTTTCAAAATGTTTGAATGAACTGCGTGTGCTATGGTTGGTTTTCTAGAAGTGTCATTTTTTACATTTATGATCATTTTTTTAAGAAATGTTATGAACATATTTTGAAATATTTGAGTATTTTGGAAGTTCCATGACAATTCTTTTTAATTGTAGGAACATTTTAGTAAACTGCATGAACAAACTTTCACATTCCATTAATAACTTTTTAATGCGTGGTGAACATTTTTCAAACTATGTAAAGTAAATTCCTATGTAGATGTACATTTAAAATGTGAAAAACCACCCTTGCGTGAATGAGAGAAAACTGACCCAAAAATCTGAACATTTGTACATGAGAACAAAAAAAAAATCAAAATGTAAAAACAGAAAGAAAATAATGAGCCTAGCGTAGAAGCAAATAAGAAGACACTACTGGGCCAATCCTGTATAGCGGCCGTTGAGGTGTGGCGTCCTTCTATCTCGCTACAACTGATAAATAGACCCTCCAAGAAATATATGCTCACAAACACTTGGCTTGGGAGCGCCTATGTCTCGCCTGTTGTGAGATGGTAGAACCGGTCGACTTAGGGCCAGCCTAAATGGCCTGCCATAGTTGGAAGCGACTGGTTTGCTTTGTCCTTTTTAAATTTTGATATTTTATTATTTTTCAGAATGTTATCAATATGCATATTTTATAATTACTTTACTAAGTTTTCGAAAAAAAAGACTGACTGTGCATTAAAATAGGCCACATAATATACATAATTGTTCATGTAATTTGTAAATAATCTTCATTTGATTAAAAAAATTGATCGTATTATAAAATGTACACGCGTTTCAAAAGTATGTTCGTGACATTAAAAAAATGTTTGTGCAATTTGAAAAATCGCATAATTTTGGAAAAAGTTTCGTACCGTTTAAATAAGGTTTGTGACATTTTAAAAATGCTCATAACACTTAAAAAGCATCACAAATATTCCTGACATTTTCGAAAAAACTCCATCCATGTTGAAAAAATGCCCACCTCATTCTGCCAATTATGAAGTTAAGAGACAAAAAAAAATAGGAAAATTGGGTTTGAGAGCTTTTTGGAATCCCTTCAGGTCGAATCCAGATTGTGAATATTTGCTCATAATAAGAGGAGAGGCAGGAATGCAAAAGCGGTGTCATTTTCTACATTTTCATTAACAATTTTTTTTAGAATTTGTGAGTATTTTTGAAGTTTCATGATTTTTTTAATTGTATGACAAAAGTTAAACTGCACGAACAAACTTTCACATTCCATGAATATCTTTTTAATGTGTGGCGAGCATTTAAAAAAACTACGTAAAATAAATTCCCATGTAGACATACATTTAAAATGTGGAAAAACCACTCCCGCAAAAACTTGTAGAAAACCGACACAAAAATGAGAACATTTATACATGAGAAATCTTAAAACGAAAATGTAAAAACAGAAAGGAAAAACCCTAGCGTCATAGCAAATAAAAGAAGACGCTACTGGACCGGCAATGTATAGCATCTATTGAGGTGAGGCGTCCTTCTATGCACTTGGGTTATGACAAGAGTCGGTCACCACCAAGACTCCAAATTGGGAAGTTCGTCGTTGCACACACGACAAAGACTGACGATGAAGGAAGATGCGCCGTCAAAATACACTGTGAGACGCTCCAGCAGCCGGCACAGTCCTCTTACTTCGTTGTCCTAGCCCGTGGCTACAGATTCAACCGACAAG